GTAGTAGTTATGAAAACCCAGTTAATAGAAATGCATTATTATAACTTTTATGTCACTTATATATCATTCAGTGTTCTGTGCTCATAGCTGCTAACTGTCAGTAATACTATAGCAAAGATTAAGATGCACTGATGAACCAGAAAACAGCCCACATCAAGGGCTTCGAACAGCAAATTTGTTAGAGGTACTAAGAGTAACATTTTTAATATCTAGTCTTGACATTTGCTCAAGTGATCTGTGGTGCTTATCAAAGCCATAATGAGAAAAATCATGCGTATTTAAGTGACCCTTTGCTTTGCAAATTTATGGAAAGGGTCAGAAGGCAATATAGAGATCTATGTTCTTCATCCGCTCAATATCCCATCATGATTCCTGAAAGATCTGGCCTATCAGACACCCTTAAAAGTGTGTAGACGCTGAACCACACAACACAAAAATTGCCGTGTCACTGCATTAGATACAGAATATTAAAGCAAGTGTCATTTCTTTTAAATAGCGATAACAAGCACACTTTAAGAACTTTTTGCCAAAAAAGTCTAATTTCAAATAATAAAGTAAGCATCATTTGTTTGGAGATGCAGTGACATTCAGACGTATGTTAGTGTGATTCAAGTGTGCAAATACTTTTTGGGTCCAATGTATTGTGTCGATGCAGACACACCTACACACATTTCTCAACATGGTTGCGTCGTTACTGATGTTATTACGTGGCTGTGGTGAATTATTTGAATGTTACTACAAGGTCTGTGTGCATGAGAAATCCTAAACCTGTGTCAATGTTTGCAGGGTTGAGATTGAAAACTGCCCAGTTGAAATGTAAAGCACTTTAGATGAACGTGAAGACAGTGACTAAAACTAATACAGGCTGCAATCTAATGAATCATTTACATAGGCAGTTTTCTTTTTTTTTTTACTGAGACATACAAGTGTTTTGTTCATTGTAGTTTGTGTAAATGAGTCAATAATTCCTTTAATAATTGTATATTAGAAATTTGTGCAAAAATATATACATGAAAAGTTCTATTTTAATTGTACTATAATGTAATGTAGCATTTGCATATATTATTCATGTCTGTACTACTTTGAATCATCTGTAGAGCAGGAGGTTCTTGATTTGATGCTTTTGTTCTGACGAAACATTGTTCCTATTAAAACAGCAGGTATATGATAAGCGCATGTTTCACCACTCACAATACATGTCATTCAATATGTTAGACTTAAGCATTATTAAAAGCTTTTGAAAAACTGAATGGTTTTTATTTCCATCTTGCCCTGTATTTAATGATATATTTGCTCTTGCATTATCAGATGTATGTATTTATTTTTTATGTGTTGTATTTTATATAATCTTTTAAAAAAATCCCTTGTAATGTACCTTGTAATACACAACAAACTTGGTAGAATGGTTGTAAATTCTTCATAAAACATCTGCATTGATGACACAAAAATAAGTGAACAAAAGAATTTATTACATTATGACCACGTTGTACAAGTTTGTTGGTGTTCAGTCATCTTTGACTGAAAACTATACGTTTTTTTTTTTGTTTTGTTTTTTACCTCAGCAGAATGGTACAAAACATGGTAAAGGTACTATGTGAAGAAAAAAAAAAATCATGGACATGATTCGATAAGGTTAAATGGTCCTGAAAAAATATTCACACTTGTACTTTTGCATTAGAAACGAATGGTAAGTGAAATTAATTTAGTGAAAAGGTTTGGTACTGGCCAAACAAAATATTACTGAAAACTATTTTTTTTGTACAACCTCAAATTTTGAACTTTGTTTAGATTCATGGCTTTGATTTATTTCACAACAAATTTAAAAAGTCTTTTTATGCATTTTTCACAATAAACAATCTTCTATAACTTGTTTTAGATTTTTTTTTTTTTTTACTTTTTTCACTTTTACAATAATTGCAAACTGTCTTCTTTAAAAAGAGACCAAACTTAAATCTTTGGTCCAAAGTATTCGAGATTTACGGCAGATTAAGATACTCAAAAAAGGTAATAAGTGGACCATAACTATTCCATAAATATAACCCTTCCCAGATTGATGGCATGGCAGCAAGATTTGCTTCTCTAAGATCATTGTTGATATCTTTCCTCCTTGGTATTCTGTTAACACACACCTGAATGCTCCAGACAAGCAAACTTCCAGAACTTCTGCTTTCATAGAGTTGGTCACACTTACTGATGATCAATTAATCAAAGTCATTTGGTTAGCAGCGCCTGCCGCCTGACTGTTACTTACCCTCTTCATTCCTATGGAAGCAGTAAATGTGCACTTAGTTTGTAGGGATTTTACATTTTGGCCTAGTTTTTGTTAAATAAATAATAGGGTTGGGTACCGAAACTCGGTGCCAATAGGGAACCGGTTCCGACGTAAACGGTAGTAACCAGACCGAATAAGAACGAAAATTTCGGTGCCTGATTTCGGTGCCTAATTTCATTAGGCACACACGCGCGCACACACACACACACACACACACAAGGTCTCTCGCTCGCTCTCTCTCCGCCGTGCGTGTGCTACATGGTGCTACACAGTTTGGAGCACAGTTTCTTCTGTCTCGCATGCGCGCTCTTTCTCACAAGGTTTGGCTGCATTTCACGTGTAAAATTACGTGTCAGAACGCCCTCTGGGTGTGCCGATCTGCCGATAGTCTGAATCCCATATAGAATCAAGCCAATTCATTGGCTGATGGCGCGGGCGCCGCATCGACGCACTTACGTCGTCATACTATGTTGGCGCGCGCGCGCCATCTGCTCCTCAGATTTCTCTGCCGAAAAAGGAAGCTGGTCGGCAGCGCGAGGAGCTTGGCAGCGTCCCGTTCCCTATTGAGGGATATGTTACACCAGTAACCAGAGATGTTCTCTTTCATAGGTTCACTCAGCGCTGCGTAGCTAAGAAGCAGTGAATTTGTAGGCTGCTGTATCACGTGCCGTTTGAACTGACGCACAGCGATCTGTCACATTTCAAAGAGCCAAAAACGTTATTTATTGTGTGAATCTCGTAAAAATATTGACAGAATCTGACAGCTGTGGATTTGTTCCATATCAAAAGTAACCTTCTCTGTCTTGTCTGTCAGTGTCCTCTTTGTCCGCGATTTTTCTGTGTGAAAAGGGTCATTTGCGTGAGTCTCACGGTCAATGCGTGAGAGTTGGCAGCTCTGCCTGTTAGAAATCCTTATTAATCTCCAGTATTATTACATTGTTTGATACAATATTGGGTTACACTTTATTTTAAGGTGTCCTTGTTACAGTGTAATTATATATTTAAGTACAGAGTAATATTAAGTAACTACATGTACTTACTATAGGGATAGGGTAGGATTAGGGTTCGTTTGAGGGTTAGTTGCATGTAATTACGCATAATTACTACAGTAAGTACATGTAACATATGTAACAAGGACACCGTAAAATAAAGTGTTACCCAATATTGTTTCATTTGATATTATGTAAATATGAATTTTTATTTTATATTGGTTTTATTATTACCATATGTTACTTGTATTTATATTGTTTAAAGATTTAAGTTAACATTGTGTCCAGTTTGGCCCTGTAAATTAAAGGGTATTATTTTTTTGATAAAGTGTGTGCGGTTTCATTTTCTTAAGTACCGATTTAAGAACCGTTTAAGCACCGGAACTGTTTAAAAAATACCGAGTAGGTACTGGAATCGGATAAAACCCAAACGATACCCAACCCTAATAAATAATGACATGGTGTAATGTGTCATGTGTTGTTGTTCATCTGAGGTTGTATTTACCTAATTTAACCTACCAAGGACCAGACGATTTTTTTGTCCTGATACATAAAACCATAGAATTTAAAGGGATACTCCACTTTTTTTGGAAATAGGCTCATTTTACAACTCCCCCAGAGTTAAACTGTTGAGTTTTACCGTTTTTGTATCCATTCAGCCGATCTCCGGTTCTGGCGGTACCACTTTTAGCATAGCTTAGCATACATCATTGAAGTGGACAAGACCATTAGCATTTCTAAAAAAAAAAAAATGACCAAAGAGTTTCGATATTTTTCCTATCGTGACATCGTGCACTAAGACCGACGGAAAATGTAAAGTTGCGATTTTCTAGGCTGATATGGCTAGGAACTATACTCTCATTCCTGCGTAATAATCAAGAAACTTTACTGCCGTACCATGAGAGCAGCAGGCGTAATGATATGACGCAGCGCCTGAAAATAGTTCCGTTGTGTTGAAGGAAGGTGGCCTATTTTCAGGCGCTGCGTCATATCATTACGCCTGCTGCACTCATGGTACGGCAGTAAAGTTTCTTGATTATTACGCAGGAATGAGAGTATAGTTCCTAGCCATATCAGCCTAGAAAATCGCAACTTTACATTTTCCGTCGGTCTTAGTGCACGATGTAACTACAGAAGAGTCAAGTTTTAAATAGGAAAAATATCGAAACTCTTTGGTCATTTTTTTTTTTAGAAATGCTAATGGTCTTGTCCACTTCAATGATGTATGCTAAGCTATGCTAAAAGTGGTACCGCCAGAACCGGAGATCGGCTGAATGGATTCAAAAACAGTAAAACTCAACAGTTTAACTCTGGGGGAGTTGTAAAATGAGCCCATTTCCAAAAAAAGTGGAGTATCCCTTTAACAATGCCCCCTTTCTTTTTCACACGACATGTATATATACATATACATAAACTACATACACATATATATATATATATCCATGGAGTCCATACCACAGAAACAGAAAAAAATATATTGTAGCCTCGAATTAAGAAATTCGTAACTCATTTTACTTTGATATTTATATTTTTGGAGATTTCTTTCTCCCACACACACTCAGCAATCGAAACTTCTGGTGTGGTGCTCAGTTGCGCCGGGGCCCATGGAAGATCAGGCCTCTATATTATATGCATATTTCTGTGAGAACCGGCCACCAGGTAGTGAATTTATTTATTTCTATCTGACAAACAGCACAGGCTTTAGGTTTCAAGTGAAAATCAGAAATAACGCTCATCTATTAATACAACAGTTGTATTTTATTTAATCATCTTAAAAATAGGAAAGTGACAAGTTATAATCCTCAAACATTTTAAGGTGTTGTGTATATTAAACAATTACAAATGAATAAAACTGATGTTTTTGAAGCAGCAACCATGTTCAAAATCATACTTGCTATAGACTAGTTAAAACATTTAGCATGTTAAAATTACAATCAGACAAGTAGTTTTCAAGAAAACGAGTTAAAAACAGCAGTCTTCCATCTAAATGTGCACTAATCAGACAGTAAATAGTACTGTTGCAATATATATTACTTTTTTCCCCCAAAAAAAGATAACTGAAGATTTTACACCACAAGCTTTGCAGCATTTATGTGTTCACTGCATTTCAGAACGCTTTCCAACATTAAATCATTCTGTAGAACATAAAAACATCTGACATGAATAACAGACAAACTGAGAAGGACAAACAAGAGCACTGTGGGATCTGTATTCATTAGAGCTTCAACAACACAGCTGTACCTGAACATACTGCGTGAGCCCATTGCGCTACAGAGTGTGTTTGTGTGTGTGTGTGTGCTTACAGACTGAAGCCCGATACAGTGAGATGTTGGGCTGTGTTTCTCGCCTCGAAGTACGAGGTGTCCGTCTCATCATCGGGCTGAGGGATGAAGGGCATACTCTTATGATGAAGGTTTTCCCAGTCCACACCCTCAAAGAACGCATGATACTTCAGTTCTACAGAAAGACACAACATACATGAAAACATGCCAATGTTGAGCTTAAGGCAGTTTTAAGAATTTGTCATTAACAATTCTTGTTAGTAAGATTAACAAGTTTTAGATGCTAGTTCAAAACAATAAAAAAAAAAAGAAATTTTGGCAACAGTTCTTCTAACCCTAATTGATGGAGTGTGTAGCTTTTCATTTCTTAAACCACCATGTAGGAAAACACATCGTGGCCAAATTCCAGGATGACAATGTCAAGATTCAGGCTCAAATTGTGAAAAAATTGTTGGGAGGAGCATGAAGAATAATTTTCACACATGAATTGGCACCTCTGACTCCAGACCTTAAAGTCATGAAAGTCTTTGGGATGTGCTGGAGGAGACTTTACAGAGTTCTGGGGCCTCATTTATAAAACTGTGCGTAGAATCCTTACTAAAAGTGTACGTGCGCCCGAAAGCCAAAAATGTCGTACGCAAAAAATATTCAGACTTATAAAACTGTGCGTACACCAGAACCTGCGCAAAATTCACTTTATAAACCCCAGTCAGCGGAAGATTGTGCGCACATGCGTCTCCACCCCTAAATAACCATATATGGAGATTATAACGCCTAGTTTTACTATGCATATCCTCATCTGCATATCATTTGCATATGATTATTCATCCACATGATAACATGTTTAACGGTAGAAGACATTAGGAAAATATGAAATACGGATGTGCCGTCACATTACAATAATAAAAATCATTTAGCAGCCCATCCTTCCCTTGTTTTTTAAATAAATAAAATAAAATAGTGCAAAATGCATTTCAGAGAACGTTTTTCTCAATCTTTTCCACTGGCCAAATAATATTTTAATTGATTTATATTTTTAATGGAAACAGATAGACCTTGTTGTGCATTATTTGCACGAAAACATTTTCTCAGACAATCTGCTATCATGATAAGCAATTATCTATGTAGTTAACACATTAAAACACAGGCAGCATGCAAGAGGAAAAGTGTTCAAAAGCATTACATCCACAACAAATATTTATTGAATATAAAAATGTTGTAACTTCTCAGTAATTATTTCATGTAGCCTAGTTTAAGTGTTTAACACCATGAGAATGGCATATTTAATCTAATTGTTTATCAGAAGTAAAACATAGTTTAAATCATTCATTTATTTATTGAAACTGAAATTGTGAACATGCACTGTATTTATGATGGACTCATAATGAAGATTTACAGTTTTACTTCATCTGCGTCAGTTTCACTAAACGGCCCAACGCACTCGCTGGCGCGGATATTTAAGAAGGGGTGGATATTTGCTTCAAGTGATAGGTTTGGTGAGTGAAATTATATTTGTATTATCTTTCTGTATATGTATAATTTTCTTTAGATTTTCTGTCTAAAAGTGACCAAAAAGACATTTAACTCGAGCTAACCATTGGTGTCGCCAAACTGCTCCATCTCCAAAACGTTCGTACGCATGGGTCAGAGTTTGCATGCAGGTTAGCTATTCCATTCATTACAAAAAAATAGTATTTGCACCTGGTTAAGAATGCTGATAATGATAATATAGGTTGATGCAATTTGATTTATTGGGTGATGTAATAGGATAATTTAGAAGTTTTTCATTTTATATAGTTATTGCTATTTGGGCCAGTTGGTGTCGCCAAAACACATACTCTTCTAAAAGAGTGTGTACGCACGGTCAAGAGCATCCTTACGGTGCACACTTTACGCCAAGTTTATTTTTTATAAATCCCGTTATGTGCGTGGAAAAATGCGTACGCATATTACCAATACAAGATCTTGAGCAACAATTGAAAAAACTTTTCATGGAAATAAATGCAATGTTATTTCCATCAAGAGGTGTGTTAATTTTTGGTCAAGATCTTTTCACACCCATAGACATCAATCGCTTCACTGAATACTTGTCGGCTAAGAAAAAAAAGAAAAAATCCACATTTAAATATCACAACATCGATGTTCATCAAAAAATAACGTGCATAATACACAGTAGTATTTACAGGAAGCAAAGGGTCCAGATAGTGCAGGCATTACCTGGAAAACCCACACTTCCAGATGTTTTGAGTATGTTATTGCTTTCCGAGAAGGAGAAAATGGCGGCCTGAGCGGCTTCAACATGTCAGAGATGATAACATTTATAATACATAACGCACATGAGTATAAATGTATTCTTTACTCGCTGAAACTGGATCGGAATGATCAGCGAACTGAGTGAAATACTTCACACTGCCTGCTAAAGAGAATAAACACCAATCCAATTGAAAAACTTCAGTGGTTAGTAGGGGTGACCCCGAATAGTCGAAGATTCGATGCTTCGATAGGAGGAGCCTGATTCGACTACCAATCTCACGGTCGAATCTTCGCCGATGTGTTATTAAACGAGGATTATGTCATTTTGGCTATATGAGTGTGCTCAATGTCTGATTTCACATAGAACTACAGGTTTTCTGTCAATACGTTAATATACAGCCTATTATGATAATGCTGTCAATAAAAATGTGCAAAGAAAGAAGCTTTTAATAAATATTTTTTAACGTGCGTGCAGCGTGAATGAATCCAAACACCCCGTGACAGATTTAAGTTTCACTTTCGATCCGTGACCGACAGAGGAGCGTCTTGTCGGCAGGGATTTAAATCTTTAAAAATGTCTGGGATAAGAAAATCTAAAGATGCACACCATCAGAAAGGATATTCTCCAAGGCTGGATTTAGCATCAGGAAAACCATGATCGCACTTCTGCTGGCCAACGTTAACAGGTTGGTTTTCCTCGGGACGTTCTAAAACGCTTAAAAGCTTTTAAAACGCTTAAATGGCACTTTTACGTACTTAATGTATGTACACAGTAGGCTACACACCTTAAGAAACCATTCCATGTGCAGATAAGCAGATGAACCCAGAATATGAACGCAACGCGTTTCTCAGATAGAAAGTCACGTAAAGCTTTTTCTTTAACGGTTTTCTATGGGAGGAAAATGCTTAACGTAGCCTATAATAAAACGCGTTGCGTTCATATTCTGGGCTCATCTGCTTTTCTGTAGGCTATATATGCTTTATAAATAAGGTGTGTACAGAATTTGATCTTTTAATATAACAGTTTTAGGACATTAAGCCGTTAAGCGTTTTTCACGTTAAGCGTTTTAGAATGTATTTTATCCGCGCACACAATTTGAAAAGACTCAAACGGACACAGGCCGAGTGAAAGACTGGATTTTGTTTTTTCGATCAGGTATGGGTACAAGTGATTTCAAAACATTTCAGCCGGTTCTAATTTGATTTTTGGATACTGTGAACATGTTTAGCTAAAAAGACTGCCGCTCCAGTTTAGGGCTGTCAACGAATATTCTAAATTCGAATATATATTCGAATAGTTTTAAAAAACAGAAATTCGAAGGTGAAAATTAATATTCGAATCATGTGGAAAAACACGCCCGCGGTAGCAGAGGCGCGGCTGTCTGCTTTGCGAGTGGCAAAATTCTGAAGCTTAAAATGTAAAAGGCATTTTCCAGCTGCACAGACAGATAGCACAGTGAGTGTCTGGCTCACTCATTGGCTGTGCTGCGTCAACTGCACATCCAATGGCACGGGCGCCTCCAACGTGTGCGCCAATGAGCTAGCATTACATCAGACACGTCAGAGCCCGCCAATGGGGGCGTGGCCAGACGCCCTCGAAATAGCCATAGTAGCAGGCTAGCAGCAGTGTACCACAGCACAGCTCGCTCGGAATCACCGAATGAAGCCTGCTATATTTAGGACATGAGTCGCGACCTTAAAGGTTCTCTAAGCGATCCTGGGTTACGTCACTTCTTGTTGACGTTCGAACTATTGTCAAACAAAACGGAGGCTAGCTAGACCCTCCCTCCTCCTCATCCGCACACTAACCCCCCAAACCCCGCCCCCAAACCCTTCTTGTCGGTCATTGGCTGGAACAGTTTGTTATGTTTTGTGGAGCGGGTCGCCGCAGTTTGCTTTTGTTGCTGTTTGTGAAGCCTGGGTTGTCTACAGAGATCGCGTTTCTTTACAGTGTGTTCAGGGGACAGGCAGCCAGCGGTTAGTGAGGAGATGTTTGCTGTATGTGACAAAAAATGTTTTGGCCTAAAAAACGCGTGACATCGCTTAGAGCACCTTTAAATTGCTTGTACAAAACTCTTGATCAGCACTCAACATTTGTTTATTGTTGTTCATTTAAACCGTTATGCGCAGAGAGCGTGAGGGCGAGAGAGAGAGAGAGAGAGAGAGAGCCTGCGAGTGCGAGCGAGAGTAAGGTCTGCGGTCTTGGCCATTAGTTGATTTACTTGGTTTTGTGTAAGTTAATACGTTGTCAAATATGTTTAAACAAAAAAAAAAAAAAAACTACCTATACAAGTAGTTGTGTCTCTTTGTATTAATTTGTCCTGTTATTAACGTAATGCGCGTCATTGACAAAATGCGCAACCAGATATTCGAATAGTTCGAATATATGGGGTTTTTTAGAGGGAATATTCGAACGTCATTTTTGAGCAATTTTGACAGCCCTACTCCAGTTTAGCGTTTATTGTTGTTTCTGCAGTTAAAAAGACAAAGTTGACAATCCTGGCCATACTTTCGTTATTTTAATAATGTCTTTATTTTTATTTTATTAATTGATCACTCAGGGTGATCTAATTTAACTATTTGTGACTTGTGTTTTGAATATTTGTTCCCCTGCACTTTAGGCATTTGCACACATTTGTTCTGCTTCTTGTGACTTGATTCTGGCTCATTTCGTTTTGTATTTTTATTTATTATAAATGTATATTGTGTTCTTAATTGTTGATTATTTTTCAGTGCATCGATGTTGCGCTGTAGGCCTACTTAGAGCATGCTCATACAGGCACAGGGCTCCAGACTAACTTTTTGCCTTGGTTGCACTGGTGCGCCTAACTTATTTATTTAGGTGCACCAGCACAAAATTTAGGTGCACTAAAATTTTTCCTCGTCTCGCGTCACCAATTTCAAGGTCACCTTTTTATCACGCTCCATATACATTCATATATATTATGTAAATGCTTTTAAACAAGAATAATAATAAAAAAAAAAAAATTTGAAGCACAATTATACTGTATATAAAAATATAAATCTTTTAAAAAAATAAAACATTTAAAGTGCTGTTTTTACATTGTTCAAGTTAGGGCAGGGTATTGACACAAATTTCACAATTCGATTCAATATTGATTATTTTGGATATCAGGTACAATACATGGCAAATTTTCTCAAGGAAAACAAATCTCTTAACTAATGCTGTAAACTGGGAGTCAGTTGTAGCCCACTATGCTTTATTAGCCTACTATAATATTGAAGGTACCTGATTTGTACACAAACACTTAAATTACACTTTTATTTATTTTTATAATAAAAGTTATATGAAATATAAACATTTAAATGGTGGCTGCATAAAAACTTGCCAGATTTTTTCAAACAACATGCATTAAATATTGAAAAACATTTAAAAAAAATTATAATGAATATGCAATATGGTGCATATATTTGGCAAAATGCTCCTCCCTAGAGTTAATTTTTCTAGCTAGCTAACGAGTTTATGGTCACTGGATATGTTTTTTTTCTGAGGTAAATGTGACGTTACATTACATTGTTTACAAGCGTTTTACTGACGTCTTTCCACGGTTGAAACACTGATTGAGCGATTCCATGTGAAAGATACGGATTTCGATAAGTTGTACCCTTTCTTTTAGCACACTTTCAGATGCTCGTTCATGTTTATTTGGCGCTGTAACTGGTATTATTAAGGCGCAAGAGAAGATCATGTGCGCTCCGCTGCTGCTGCTTCTCTTGAGCTGAGCTGAGCCAGAGCGATCTCACGCCACAGCGTCAACAACACACTATTTATGTTTTTGAATTTCATAAGAAAATGGACCTAATTTGAAATCTGAGACTTTGTTTCATATCAATAGTAACAAAGCACAAAGATTATTGCGATTTATTGGATGGGATGCGCGCTACAATGTTCCATTCATTCATCAACTGAAAACAGCATAGCCCAACGGTTCGTAAAAATGAGAATCGATTAAAATCGAGAAATCAATATTTTTCACCTAGCCCTAGTTCAAGTAGCATACATTTTTAAAAGTTTCTTCGTCGTCTGTTTTCTTGCGTTTATTTAGCTGATGCTACTGATTCTCTGGTGCTCAGGTGACAGGTCGCAATTTATTTCAATCACACAGAACGGAGCATTTTAGTCCTACAGGAATATCTGAACCACAGCCAATCAGAGGCAAAGACCCGCCCAATCTCTATCTCTGATTGGTTTAGACCACGATATGATCCAACCTTGCGTGCAAGGAGAACACCAAAATGGTCGCACTCTAGAGCCCTGAGGCAATTCAGCCGATTTAATTTGATTTGCATGTGAAATGCAAATCCTATCTGCAGTGTGGCCTTTCTGCAGTTATTTATGTTATTTCTTAGTTTTATTGATCCAAAATGTTTTTATACATTTTCTTCTATATCTTTATCTTTAATATCTTTAAAATGTTAAAGCCCCGCCCCCTCCCCAACACCACACACATGATTCGACTATTAGTCGACTATAGGCAGGACTTGACGAATCTGATTCGACTATGAAATTCCTTAGTCGGGGACACCCCTAAAGTTTAGTGGATAAAGCGGACATGAGGCCATTGACAGGTGATATAATAAGAGATGTTACACTGGATAAATTTGCTAATTTCACTGGATTTAAACATTATTGGAAACATTTGGGATAATATAAGTACACAAGTGAACAAAATATATAACACTGTGCTAGTGATTTTCAGATATTTTAATGCACAAATCTTACATGTTGTGCCTTTGTGCTCAAAGTCCCTCCCTGTAGTCGTCCAATTTGACTTATGCTGATGTAATATATAATAAACTTGACAGGTGATTTTTATAAAATGGTGATTTCTTTTATTATAAAAGTTTGAATACTATCTTCTCAGTTGTTAAAAATATTAATTTGATATATAATATGATTCACCTTTAAAGCCAGCTCGCTTGTTTGCATCCATGGTGAGAAGAATCTCAATGGCACTTCTTGAATTCTGGGTTAACTCCTCGTCTCCATCTGGCCACGGTATATCTGAACACATCATTAGATGAAGAACATGAAGATCAGAAACAGTCAACACAACTTTCTTTTAATGGTGCTGAGGAAAAAAAAACAGAAGATCCATTTGTTGGATCCAGGAGTACATAACTTTAAGTTGTTGTTTTTTTTTAAACTCTTTTCATCACCTTTTGCATGTATTTATCATTGACACTCTTACCTCTGTTGAGAATGTTCTGGAACACCAGCTGTGGAGTCTCATCGTTGAAGGGCGGGACTCCTGTGAGAAACTCGAACAGACAGACACCTAACGCCCACCAATCCACCATGAAATCTGTTGGAGAACAAAAACCCACTTAGGTACACTGTTTTATTAGTGCAAACATGCAACATGGCTCAAAATGTGTTAGAAATGTGACCAGACCACTATTATAAAGAGGTGACAGCAGTGGGCTTAAGTTGATTTTTTGTGGGGGGGGAAGGGAAAGCAGAACACAAAACCAGCTTGACATGAACTCAAAAATCAAGATAGCTAATATTACATTACAAAACTGAATAAAAAAAAAATCAGTCAAAAAATATATACCTTCAACATTGATAAACTTAAAAGGTGAAGTTTCTGTGCCAGTAGCAGCACGGAATAGAATTGTGAAAATAACTATTTTAAGAAAACAACTGCCCAGGATGAGCTGAGTGGTTGCCAGAGTGTTGCTATGCAGTTGCTAGGGTGTTCTGGGTGGTCAAAAAAGGCCGAATCAAAAGTGTCCACCACCTCAAGTCTGTAGATTTGACTGGGTCCCTTCTTCAATGCAAGTCTAAAGTTTTTTTTCACCTGTTTTATTGTGAAAACGGTCTGTTTGTTTAGAAAAGTAATGGAGAAATAGTACGAGTAAATAGTAAGAGTTCGGTAGGTGGTGTTAGCTTTTGATGCGACTGACCAGAGTTTGACGCGTTTGCACTTACGGTACAAAGAAAATACTTTTTGTTGCCATTTAGACTTATGCAAATAGCCACTGTCTGTTTTTAATGGCTATGCGACAAACGGTGCAGGACTAATTGAATGCCACAGTTTGTTCAAATTGATAAACCTAAATTATGCATGAGATTTAACGAAGCATATTTGCACTTTTTAAAAGCATACCTCATTTAATAGTATTCACAAACACAGGAGGTCCACATGCTAAAAAAAAAAAGTTTCATCTTTGTCCAATTGCTGAGCCATTTCTCGAAATTTGCGGTACGCATTGTATGCATACCCTCGCATACATGCAAAAACTAAAGTATACTTTGGGTTTAAAAAGTAAACATCAGTTTTTATGTATACACTAGGGTATTCGTACAGTGTGCAACCTAGGGCTTTGTGATTTCATATTCGGAATAATCCAAATCGGTTAAGCACGATTTCCATGTTAATTGGGATTTAATCGTTTAGCCCTAGCACAACCAATTTTGTCATCACCATTGTACACAAGTCGGCAGATTTTTTCTAATTGTTCATACTCTGTAGACTCAGCTTGCTCATGCACTCATAATTGTTAATCAAAATAACTTTTCCTCCTTCTTGAGCGACATCTCAGCTCTTCTCTGATGACATGAGAGATCACAGCAATAGCTAAACAAACCATTCAACGATCCAATCAATTCCCAATTCACAAAAACGAGTCCTGCCTTGCATTTTGTGCTCGCGCCCAAAGTGTGCGCACATAAAGCCGCCTCTCAGTACTAAATGGAGTTCTTTTTCGCTGCTTATTGCGCTTAAAAGTTCAAATACACACAAAATAATGTCAGTTGACATAGTCAGTTGTTTTAAGTGAAGGCTCGTACACACCGGGACGAATATCGGCGCGCGTTATTCGTCAGCGTTTTTCAACGCGTTTTTTGTGTTCACACCCAATCGATTTTCGCTGACGTTGAGCCGAGTGGACATGCCAATTCATTCCCTGACATTAGATGGCGCTTAATGTAAAACAGAAATAGTCCTATTTTGTAGTCGCTGTCACGTTTGTCATAGTTCTTTATGTTCCGACACCAACGAGACCAGCAGCTCTACATTCATCTTGCCTTGCATCTTCCTCGTCTTATTTCTTCCCGGCAGTGTAGACCATAGATATCCATAATAAAGGCCATTGGCCAGCAGCGCGGACGAGACATCTAGCCTTTATTATGTATATCTATGGTGTGTAGACGATACTTGGCGCATCTTCTTCGCCGTTACGTTTGTGTGCTCGGCAAGACCGTTTTGTGTTTGAGCGCCCCCAAGTTGTGTTTTACTGTAACTTCAGAAGCTCCAGACACGTGAGCAAAAGCGCCAATCTCATTGGTCGGATAGTTTTTGACGCGGCGCGTCAAACCAAAAAAACAAACCCGAGGCGTATTTAAAAAAATGACGCTTTTACACGTGGCGTTTTTCGCGTCGGTGTGCACACTCACATAGGCGCCCTTTGTTAAGTCACGAGGCGTTAAACATCGGCGAATAACGCGCGCGAAATTCGTCCCGGTGTAAACAGGCCTTCAATGTAAACAGTTGAGAAAGAAAAATCATGTGTAACAGTATAATGGATCCGTGCGTCAGGTCTTAAAGTGCCAGCAGTCTATACCTGATGCCAAATTATGAGATAGTATAAAAAAAAAAACAATATGGTAGTTGTGGCCAGTGAAAATGCTGAGTGGCTAGTAACTCTGGAAAACCACTTGCCACAGTAGCTGATGAGCAAAAAGTTAATGTCAAGCCCTGGTCATAAAATCTGGAGACGCTGCAGACTCTGGACAGAGATGAAAAACTCTAAATGAGCAAGTGTTGAGCACCGTTGAAAGGCTATCGCTTGGCTGTTCGCATACGACAATTTGTTGCACCAAAACATTTCCAAACCATCCCAAAGACTTCCATTGGTCAGCTATACAGGCCGTCCTGCCCCAAACTCGCACCCTCGTTTGAGACGCAAGTTGACATGGTCCGCTCGAACAGTGCAATGTTTCGAAAGCAAAGTTAAGCCACAAATTACTTTTACTTGACTGTACAACAAACTGGAATGCCAGAAAAAATGTTAACATCAAAATGGCTTTTTTAGTATAATGCCCCAGAATTCCCAAGCACTGTCATAACATCCCAACAGAGTTGAGACATCCAGCATTACTGAAGCATTAAGGGTTGATAAATCAGGAGCCACCAATCACAAAAGCTGCGACCCATGATGGAATTAGTCAGCCATGTCCTTATCTAATGCGGGAAGGGTAAGCTGCCCACACATGCACCAACATCTCCATGGCTTAGACTCTCAACAAATACTTTTTAGCATACTTACCATAACGTACAGACCCTGAAACTAAAACATAACATATGTTAAAGAAGCAAAGTAAAAGATTCATTCCCACTTTATATGTATTGTGTAACAAAAATGAATTGTACAATTGTAATGTTGCATTGCAGAGCCCTTATGCTGCTATTGAGGTGGGATACGGGAAAGGTTAGGGACATGTTTGGCGATATTGTTAGGTTTAAGGTTGGGTGATTTTTTTTTTTATATATAACTACATGTACAGAGTAAGTGCACTGTATCCAATGCTTAATTTAAAGACATATGCATTGCACATTTTTGTATTATATGAGCTGTTGGACACCCTGCTCTCAGCCATTGCAAAAATCCATAATGGTAGACAATTACCATTAACAACTAATATTTGAGCCACATATCATCACAAGATAAACATATTTTACATACTAATCACTCAAACTCTTACCATGAGGTTTGCCTAATAAAAGTTCTGGTGCCAAGTAGTCAGGAGTTCCCAAAATAGGAGCCCCTTCCACACGTTCTGGACCTCTACGGACACTTTTTGGTGTTCTGTAGGGAGTTTGAGACACAATCATCTGCTGTGGAGTCTAGAAAAGAAAAAGAAAATATGACCATTTCATTTTTAAATATTTGATTGCAACTCAAATCCTTTTCCTCAGTCTTGTTTGAGTTCCAAAAATCTCCAAAAGGCTCCTCACCTGGTAAAGTGAGCTGCTCAGACTGGGCCTTTTCTTCTGAACGGGAGTCACTGCAGACTGGGCATTGTGGAAGGAGGTTGACGCAGACATCTCCATGGCATCCAAAGAGGCTAGGCTGAGATGTGATGTACAAGAGCGGTTTATGGAGCTGCAGTAGCTCCTGAACGCAACCACGTTCTTGGGTTTGAGGAAGCCAGGTGATTTGATCATACTGTCAGATAGCCTATGAGGATGATCAAGAAGAGAACCCTCGGATTCAGCCCTATGTTGCTTTGAGCTGCTATGCTTTGGAGGAGCTATTGTGGGCCGAGCTGCCGGTGTGACTACGGAAATCTCGCTTTCATCCAGCTCCTCGAAAGAGAACGACAAAGCCTCATGTTTGAAGTCTGTCGATTTTTGTGGCGTGTTAGCAACCAGTGACATCTCATGGGCCGAGCCATCCAAGTCTAAACTAAGGCTTCTTTTGATACTTCGGGCATCGCCAGGTGAGGTTGGGGAGCTCAAGTTGGTCTCTGCTTTAAGCAAAGCCATCCCCTCGCCTTGATCTTCGAGATCAGAGAATAGATTTTTGGCCACAGCTACGGGACTAGATTGCTTTGGGCCCATTCTCGCACTGTACTGTTGACTTATCGGTGCAGTTTTAACATCATCTAGCCCCACAATTGAGAAAATTTCCGTCAAGCCTGTGTTGGCCGTTGAGTTGCCCTCAGGAATATGGAAGGACCTTTTGTACACGGCATTGTTTTTCTTGCAGGGGATCTCAGCCTGCTCTGGGCTCTTCTCTACTTCTTCAAACGCTCTCTTTACTGAGACTGTGGGCTCTATTGGCGGCTCTGGCTTCATAAAACTGTTCCCAAATGACTGATGGGGAACAGCCTTACTCAGTGGTGTGGCACTGTGCTTGGTTGCACTGAACTGGAGCCTTTTTGCAGAAATATCTGGTTTAATATTTCTGCTATTGTCCAGTTGGTTATTGAGCGGAGTCAAAACATTGCTGTGATCCTGAGCTCGTGCTGGAAACATGTTCCTCCTCTCCACAGGCGTCAAGGACATGTTTTTTGACATTCTATTGACCCTTTCTCTTCCGTTTCCCTGAGGAAGGTTCTCGCCATCTAGTAAATTCTAGAATTGCAAGACATTGTCAGGTTGATTTTTTTTATTATCATATACACTACTGTTTAAAAGTTTAGGGTCAGTGTGTTTTTAAAAAAGAAATTAATACTTTTATTTAACAAGGAAACAACAACCTGATCAAAAGTGACAGTGAAGACATTTATAATTTTACTTTCAAATAATGCTGTTATTTTGAACTTTCTTTTCTATAGAGAATCCTGAAAAATTTGTATCGTGGTTTTCAATTTCAACATTGATAATAATAACAAATGTGTTGTGAGGACTAAATTAGCATATTAGAATGATTTCTGAAGGATCATGCGACAGTGAAAAAGTCAGCTTTGCTATCAACAGGGATTAATTATACTTTAAAATATTTTCAAAAAGTACTGTTATTTTCAATTATTCAATATTAATATCTCGGTTACAATTTATCCTACAGTACGTGTACTTACCCAAGAAATGTGATGTGTGTGATATCATATATAATATAAAATATAATAAAATACATAAAATAATTAGAATATTGTATTTGAAAAAATACTGTTATTTTTGTACTTTGTGATAATACAATAATTTAAGGATTTATTTTACATATGCACAATATATTGGTACCGTACTGTTATTAGTTTGATTCAATATTTAATTGTGCTGCATATTTACTCTATTTTTTAATACTTTGATAACATTTTGCATAAAATGCTTATTTGAAGTTAAAGGGATAGTTCACTTTGAAATTAATTTTTGATATGTTTTAGCTTACCTCAAGGGCATCCAAGATGTAGGTGTCTTTGTTTCCGCAGTAGTTTCAATTTTGATATTTTTAGGTCAAACCGTTCTTGTCTGTCAGTCATATAATGCAGGTCTATGGTCACCACCTCAAAGAGCATGCACAGAGAAGTCCATATTAAACATGATTTAATGACTCGTAAATGTAAGTACACATTGATGGCCTAAGACACGAAACGAGCGGTTTGTGTGAGAAAACGAACAGTATTTATATAGTTTTTACCTCTTGTAAACACAGCCACGTCCAAGTGATCTGAGGGCGCCGGCGCTTCGGTCTGTGCGTTGCAAGAGGTAAAAACGATCTAAATACTGTTTATTTTCTCACACAAACCGCTCGTTTCGTGTCTTAGGCCATCAATGTATACTTACATTTACGAGTCATTAAATCATGTTTAATTTGGACTTCTCTGTGCATGCTCTTTGAGGTGGTGACCATAGACCTGCATTATATGACTGACAGACAAGAACGGTTTGACCTAAAAATATCAAAATTGAAACTACTGCGGAAACAAAGACACCTACATCTTGGATGCCCTTGAGGTAAGCTAAAACATATCAAAAATTAATTTCAAAGTGAACTATCCCTTTAATATCCAAAAACACTTATTTCATAACACTTAAATTTAATGTTCAGCTAATCTTAAAATGAATATCCATTTTTCATACAGTTTATTATAATCTTGTGAAACCTAAATTCACTTGTTGCTTTTTAAATGACTGATTATAGTGTTTACTTTGTTACTTCTTATCTTATGCAGACAATATAGTATTGATCAATGTGCTATGAACCAAAAGCCCTTCAACAGTAATGCTGAAACAAACCTGCTCATCTTCCCACATTGGGCTGACACAGTCTTCAGAATCAGTAGTGGATGGTAACTGGCACGAGTGGGTGCTTCCAACACTCTCGAATCTCTTCCTGGATTTCATCAGCCTTGGTGTCAAACTCCGAGCCAGCAGGCCAGGACTGAACACACTGTTGGATCCTAGAGAATAGCTCATGTTAGGCTTTTCATTGTTCATTCACAGCAAAAACAAATGACATTCTCAATAACACTGATGACACACTCCGGATGAACATTATTCTGACACGTACCTAAAGCTTGATTTGTGCCTACTGGGTATTTCAGGTACTCTGTCCGTCTCTTCAGCAGAGGAGAACACAGAGAAGTATTCCTCTGCTTGAGTTTCCCACAGGACTTGGGACTGCCAAACACTGTGCTGCTGTGACGCTTGCTCTCTGTCACCGGGGTATTCTGCATTTCAAATCAAAAATATAATGTATTATACAAGCTGTTTCAAACAAGTAGATATATATATATATATAACATGGCTCATAAATAAGAATGATTGATGGCCCGGGCCAGATAACGGATCGTCACTTTATCTATAAGGCTAGTACAGTGTCGTCACTGTCATCTGGTTTATGCTTTTTTATATCTTGCAAAGATATTTTGTGTTGTAAACTTGCTGTGATAGTTGAGTAATAGAAGATCATAGAGATTTACTTTCAAAGGGCTGCACGTTCTTTATATTCAGTCTGCACTACTTTATGTAACATACACATGCAGATGGCTGTTGCATCTCACTGCTATTTTCAATATCTTGTGGTGTGAACTGTGAACGTTGTATTAAGACAGCGTGAAGTTTTAAAAAAATGTACCAAGACCCCACAGTTCTGTTGCACTTCGTCAAGCCGTTTTTAAACAAGCACACGTTCCATATGAATAGCACGCCTCAACGGGGTCCGGTGAACCCTAATCGTACACTTCCTTCAAACCAACTAGTTCAGACAATTCAACCACTAACTGATTTTAAAATGATTTACAGCACCATTTAAAGTTTGGGGTTGGTTTGATTTTTGCTTTTGAAAGAAGTCTCTTATGCTCACTAAGGCTGTATTTATTTGATCAACAGTACATAAAAAAAAAATAAAAAAAAATCTGGATTTACTAGGTGGAAAGGCTATTAACATGAATAACAGAACTGTGAGGGGAAAAAAACACCTTATTGTTGAGCCATATAAAATACAAATTATATGAATCTGAAAATCTACTCACGAGACCAAGAGAGCTTATCAGTGAAAGAACTTGACCAGGTGTTCTGAAATAATCTTTTTTAGGTTTCACTAAAGAAGGTGTGTTTAAAATGTCCATCAGGTTTAGTTCTGGATAGAGGGAAAGGAAAAAGTTGTTAATATCACAATAAAGACCAAGTATTTTAGCATTTTGGTTGTTTAAATAAATACATAATAATAAAAATAAAAAAACCTTACCCCTGTCAAGTTTAACCTTGGAGAGGCCAAAGTCTGTGAGCTTAATGTGACCCTCATTCGAGATGAGCATGTTGTCGGGTTTTAAGTCCCTGTATCAAATGACAAAAAAAGTCAGTTAGTTTGACAAACAAAAGACGAAATGACTCAATTCCTCAGTTTCAGAAATACCTGTGAATAATGCGGTGTCTGTGAAGGTAATCGAGAGCGATCGAGACCTCAGAGATGTATTTCAGAGACATGTCCTCATCAAAGTACCCATAAATATGAAGAAGTGATTTCACATCTCCTCCAATCAGATACTCCATCACCTATGAAAGTATCAAACATACTTGAACCAGTTAAAATTTCACATTAATGTAGAAATAAATGCTGAGGTGAAATTAATAAATACATTTTTGACATTATTTTTTATTTCAACTCAACATTTTCTACTTCAGTTCTTTTTTAATGTAACCTGTACAGGTTTTCATGAGATTCACCCTTATACGTACCAGATATACTTTAGTTGAGGTTTGAAGCGAGTAAAACAGGTGCACAATGAAAGGACTTTTACTGAGAGCCAGAGCATCTCTCTCAGCTTTCATCTGATCAGTCATGTTCTTGTCCACCATGTCTGCTTTCTTCACCACCTGCCAAACAAAAGCAGCATTTTGTTAATCAATGCTAACAATTTCAAAATGGTGAAAACAAATTTTAAAAAAGTTAACTTATAATAGATATCACCAATTTCCCCAGTTGATTGATTACATAAATAATAGCAAATATTGATGGCATCGAGTTAAAGATCAATATAAAGATCTTTTTTATTTTTAAATATTGCAGTATTTCTTAGAAAAGATTTAAACGTGCACTTTAAGCAATGTGCCCTTATGATCTTTAATCAAAATACCTCCCCCCCTCTTGCAGGAACTCTTGGTTAAATAGCGAGTGTGAAAACTTCATCTTTAACGAATTGAACACCACTCGAACCCAAGCTTTTACCTCGTACCTGATCCCATTTTCCCTTCAGACATACAAGGAAATCACTTTAAAACTAAAATCCACCTTTTCTCCTTCCTTCGCGTTTCTTGAAACAGGTCTTCGACATTGTTAGCTCAGAAATTCTGCGCATTATTAATAAATGTTTCGCGACCATCATTTTTTCATTTTGATAAATAAATACCTACTTAATCGAATATAATAAAATGCTCATAATAATTATGAATTGTATTCTATCTTATATAGAATAAGAAATGATTAAATAGCTGTATACCTTGATTGCATAGAGTTTGGAGTTAATTGTCTTTCTGGCCAGGTAAACTTTCCCAAAGGCTCCTCGACTGATGGGTTTGACCAGCACGAAGTCCTCGATGGAGGGAGCTTTCACTGCGCTGCTTGAGCCTTCAGATGAAGATCCATGAGCCTCCATCTCTGCCGTCGCTTCAAATATCAATTTTAATCCAACTAACTTAACGTTAGACCACTTGTCTTGCAGGCAGATGCCTCATTCACATGAGACGAATAAAAACAATTTTATGGTGATTACTGTGTTGAAAATCAAACACATATCACCACAAAAGCTTTAAAACGCTGGCAACATGCATTCGAACTGTAATAGTTTGAATAAGGCAGTCCTGCGTTCAATCCACCGCATCCATTCTCACTGTTGACAAGCGCGACGAGTTTGTTTTGAAATTTGAAATGTGCGACATAAATTTGGGTCCTAAAACGCGGTTGTTTAGCCGCCCAAAAGTGTTTAAAAAATAAAAAGTCAACTGGAAAAAAAAGATTGTTTATGTTTATTCACGATTGTATAAGAGCTGATATTTATTGTATAAATGTGATACTAATTTTAATCTTACACAAGTAAATTACGGTTACATTTCTGGAAAACGAGTCAGGCAAAGCTTTTGGCTACTTTGCGGGTCTTTAACGGGGCAGAAGAACGCAAGAGCAGACGCCCTCTGCTGGCCAGAACAGAACACACAGTACTGACCGAATAAAACCAAAAAATGATTGTTGGAGGCGTATACAAAAATATAATCTTTTAAATTCCACATATTTTGGAATTGGCCAACAAATGTCATAAACTGAAGCACAAACGACAAACAATTCTTCATGCAATAATCAAACACTGATTGGTCCATCTTCAAAGGCGCTGAGAAAAGTAACAGGTTCCACGTATCTGTTCTGTTGCAGCAGCGTTTAATAATTTACCAGAACAATGACGCTGACAGACTTTAATTTATAACTTATAAGCTGGTTATTATATCTAATTGGGTCTTTTTAAAATCTTATATGTGGCTTTTAGCAAATATTGACACTGACAGACTTTTAAAAAAAACTTATGAGCTGGTTATCTTTATGCATATTCGTAGTCTCATTAGTCTTTTTTCACAGAAACACAAAATGACCTATAGTCTCAAGCACCGCAGCACATAGGCCTACTGATCCTCAACTGTAAATGAAAAAAAAAAAATGCATTTTCATAACCTACACCTCCGGTGGGCAATTTTATTTTTTAATCAGCGCTGATTTTCATAGGCGTTTCATGATACATCTAAAGTCCGTTTTTCAATCAATAGCCTTCATAATAGCGGAAATAATAGTTTAAAAAATCTGAAAGAAGCAGTTTTTTTTTTGGACAAGATGTTTCGCTCCTCTGTCTGCGCTTCAGAGAGCATCTCAGCATCTCCTCCCTACAGGAGCTTTTTTGTGAATAGTCTGTATCAGAAATGTGCTTTTGTTGTAATATCTGTTGACTAAATATGGCTGAGTGGTCTGTTATGCCGCAGCTTCACTTGCTTCCTTTTATGCACCTCTGCAAATGCTAAAAATATTATAAATAATAAACAGCTCAAGTTTTTGTATGAACAATTCTGAATTGAAGTGCGTAGTCCCTCTTTGTGTCACAGACACTCAGTCTTAGTTTCATTATCATGGAATTTTAGTTTGTTTTCACTAGTTTTCTGTCTTCCTTTGTTCAGTTCCCGCCACTTATCAGTTCTCATGGTGATTCATTTAATCATCACCAGTGTTTGTCATTATTTCCCTCATTTGCTTTGTATTTAAGTTGCAGTCTTTTCAGTGTTCGTTTGTCTGGTCACGTCAATGTATAGCGGTTGTGTTTGTTTGCCTGCCTCGTTTTGGAAAACCTTCTGTGTGGAATAATAAAGCCTTTTGACCCTGATCTTCATCATGTTTCCTGCAACAGTGTGTGACAGATGACCAGACCCTCAAAATGAGAAGAAAACTGGATATAGTATCCATTAATGTTGCCCCGACGAGGGGCAATTTACTGCTGGAAGGAGTGACAGTGTTTGTGTTCCAGAGTGGCAGAGACCTGGAGTGTTACGTGGAGGAGTTCCTCAACATCTGCCATCAGACCACCTGCGACGACGTCTGTCTGATGGAGGGTATTAAGTGTGGCTTGGACGAAGATCTCCGCTTCGTCATGCCCCGTCTCGCCTCTGCAGCCACACCTTACAGATGTCGCGCAACCAGACCCAGAGCACAGTGCACCAACACCCCTTACCACGGAGATGTCAACACCAGAACCCCCACTGACCGGGAACTTTCACCGCCGCAAGCAAGGAGCCTGTGACGACAGCGCCCACTAACGCCCCGGAGCCGAAGCCCCAATGTGAGTCTGACTAGGGGTGTGAGCCGTCAATTCCCAGAGGGAATTTTGGTGGAGATTGATACTGGGGAGGACTGGCTAATAGACTGGGACACTGTAATACCACCCTGAACTATGTGCACTTTCTTCATCATCGCTGGTTTTAAAGGGGAACTTGGAAACTCTAGTCATTTCTTCGCTGATTTTCACTTTTGTTGTCGCATGTTTTCTCATCGAGCTCCCCTTACAGCTGTCCGGCGTATATTTTCACATCACTGTCATAAAAAAACTCACTTGCGGCACCTTCTTCCCGCTTTCTACCGCTGCTCATGTGCATTTGTTATTATCGGAGCCAGCCAACTTTATCGTGTGGAGCTGTGTCTGACTTGTCGTGTGGAGTGGGTAATACATCATACACAGTATCGTAGAATTATGTCGAATTTCCATAAAGTAGTTCGTGTTTCTCGCTCGTTCTCGGTTCTCACGAGACTTTTATTTCCAAATTACCGGGACGTTAGTCCTCGTTGCAAGATTGGTTTTCCGCCTGGGGACGCTGGGGGGAGCGGGGAAAGTCACCATTCTCTCCAGAACAGGTTATTTAACCATTCAAATGATTTCTAAACGGTTTTATTAAGTTGAAATAGTTGCCAAGTGCCCCTTTAACCAGCACAGAGAGGGAATTCTCGGCCTACATGAACTGTGATCTGTTATTAGTGGTCCCGCCCAACCCTCCTCTCCCACATCCACTATTTAACACTGCCAGCCCCCTTCTGAGAAGGCTCATTCCCAGCACTCAGGCTTCTCAGATGCAACACTGAAGACCACAAAGCAGTGGAGGCAGAATATGACGCAGGGAGCACCCTTCTCTTCCAGGTCCACACAGAGAGCACCTGTGCTCACCTCATCCAGAAACTAAGGCTTCTCTCATGATGCAACACTTAAGATTACGTAGCAGCGGAGAAAGCGGAGACAGAAAAAGCCACAGGGAGCACCTGTGGCAGCTGGGTCTGAGAAAACTGAGTGGGGGAGAACTGAAGACCACGAAGCAGTGGAGGCAGCAGACACCGAAAGCACCTGTGCCTGACGGGTCCACACAGGGAGAATGTATGCTTGTCCGGTCCCAGCAGAACTCTCACAGTTTAAAAAAAAAGAGGACCTCACCTCATCCCTGGTCTTCAGTGATGCAGAGAAAGCTCAGCACTCAAGTTACTCCGATGCAACAATGGCCATGGACCAGAGGAGAAAGAGGAGGCAGAAAAAGCCACAGATAGCATCTGTGCCTGCTGCGTCCCCAAAGGAAGTACCTGTCCCCATAGGGTCCCAACAAAGAGGAAAACTCAGGATCCCTGAACATTTGACTAAACATCTGATAAAGGCATCTTCTGAAACACCCATTCCCATCCAGTCTCTACAGAGGGCACCAGTGGCGGCCTCAAAGGTGCTCACATGCTCCTCACATGGAGTACCCATGCAGGACAAGATCACTATAGGCCAAAACCAAGGGTAGGGACACACCAAACCGACGCCAAAGAACTAGTGCTGATGAAAGCCGACGGTGTTGATTTATAGATATCTATATTCGTCGTTCAAAAAGGGAAACCGACGCTGCGGGCTGCAGATACACAAACCGTAAACAAAGCACCACGCTCTTGCAGTTTTGAATATCAATCCTGCTGATCACTTTCTTTATTCCACTCCGGTCCTGTTAGGCCTTTTCAAATATTCGCCCAGGAACACTCAGGTAAGATGACAAAATTAGAACAGCCTTCTTTCTGTACAGTTTTGACTTCTTTGCTCGCTGTTTTGCTATTATTCTCACTGCACTGACTCGTTCACTAAGCTAGAAAGCCAGTCAGAGTTCACTCTCTCACTGACGGCCCAACCCCGATTCTACGGCGTCTGACCAACGGAGCGGAACACAGAGAAAAAACTAAGTCGGCTGACGGCCAATTGTCGGCCCGGTGTGTCCCGGGCTTTAAGATCCCTGAGGCAGGAGCTTGTTCAGGGAGCACACATGCCTGACAAAATCTCAAAGAGGCAAAAACTAAAGATCCCTGAGCCGTTGAGACAGGAGCTGCTGCAAAAGAAGCCTCAAGCCCCCTCTCTGAAGATAGCGCCTGTGTGTTGTGCACAGGGAGCGCCCGTTATTGACAAGATCTCTGAGAGGAGAAATCTTAAAAACCCTGAGCTGCTGAAAAAGGAGAGCTGGAACAGAAGTATCAAGCCTCTTTGGAAGCACTCATTCCAGCCAAGTCCAAACAGGATCTTTTTTCTGTTCTATTTTTATGCATAATTGCATAATGTGCATGTATAATGTAAATGTTTATTAAACAAAAAGGTGAATAGTGAAATATTTCTATAAATAAATATACATACACTTAATTTTTTTAATTTCTTACATTTTTAAAAACTTTAAAACACATTATAGCCTATTGCACACCTAAATTATCTTCAAAGTCTCGATTTACATTACATTTGTTATAGATGGGCAACAACTACTAAAACGAATATAACGGCATGTTAAAAGATCTGAAATGGCAAACCGTAATTAAAGGGTTTGTTCACCCAAAAATGAAAATTATGTCATTAATGACTCTCCCTCATGTCGTCCCAAGCCCGTAAGACCTCCGTTCATCTTCGGAACACAGTTTAAGATATTTTAGATTTAGTCCAAGAGCTCTCTGTCCCTCCTTTGGAAATGTATGTACGGTATACTGTCCTTGTCCAGAAAGGTAATAAAGACATCATCAAAGTAGTCCATGTGACATCAGTGGGTTAGTTAGTTAGAATGTTTTGAAGCATCGAAAATACATTTTGGTCCAAAAATAACAAAAACTACGACTTTATTCAGCATTGTATTGTCTTCCGGTTCTCTTGTGGATCCGCGTTCAGTGCCGCTGACGTAAGACGCTGCTGACGTGTGTCTGCTGCGCCCGAGCTTCATTTACAGTCTGAGGGAGACGCACGCTGTAAACAAAACAATCTTCGCCAAAATGTCTAAGGATTTCGACACAGAGGAAGACTTGCATTTTTTTGCCCAGCCATATTTATTTGAACCCGAATACACGGACACACCAGAACACGTCAGCAGCGTCTTACGTCATCAGCGTCACTGAACGCGGCTCGACAACAGAACTGGAAGACAATACAATGCTGAATAAAGTCGTAGTTTTTGTTAATTTTGGACCAAAAAATTTTTCCGATGCTTTAAAACATTCTAACTAACCCACTGATGTCACATGGACTACTTTGATGATGTTTTTCTAACCTTTCTGG